AACACACCCACACAAACATAATTTTGCAGAAAACTTTGAAAAAACATTTTCTTAGAGTAGCATGATCAAGCGCTACTATAGATCTAGCAGTTATAAAATCATGCACATTCATTAGTTTCTTGATCGCTTTCATAGGCCTATATACGCATTAAAGTAGTATTCTTATAACTCAAGTAAAACAATGAAATTTACCTTTTTGGTACAAAACGTGCTTATTTTTATTTTTGCTGCACAAATACTCAATTCTGAGTTAGTCTTAAGCAGACATCAATTTCATTTTCAACTGAAATGCAATGATTTCTGTCCTTGGTCTTGTTGCTTTCTAAATTAGAAAAATCTTCACATATATAAGAAGTTGACAAGTACCAACAAAATGTTCATTTCTCATTACAGGATGCTTTTCTTTCACAGAAATCTAGACCTTGTCTAGGCACAGATCAGTAAATCTCTTGTTTCGTGTATTGACAGAATTCTTCCTCCTTCAAATTCAAGTTCTCAGACTAAGCAGAAGAGTCGGAGAAAGGATCCTGTACCATCACACATTTGACTTGAAAGAGAGGAAAAATTACTGTTGAATTTTGCTGTACAGTTTTTCCAGGGGTGGCTTTCAGTAAGACTCAGACTTACTGATAGTCTTCCTCACTGAGCCAAAACAGCAATAGAAATATTTTTAAGAGTTGCTTTTGTAATAGATTTTTTCAAAGACTGTTTCTTCCCCCCCCAAGACTGTTTCTTTTAAAATGCATTTATATTTATTATTGTTACTTTTTTTACTTGGAAAATGATGAGCATATTATATACTAAGGAGTGAGTAATTAAAGATTAGCATTTTTCTATCTAGACATCTAGTCCAGAGTTGGCATCCAAACTGGCGGGTTCTTACTGTTGTTTAACTTAAATCAGCCAGTCTCCTGGAATGGTCTTGAATGTTTTTCCTTGTTCTCCGGCATCGTTCTTTACTTGTTAACTTGCTAACGTGTCAAACTACTGTCATTTGGTGGACTTTCCTGTTGCTCTTTCCCAGCCACGCCTTCTTGTATCTTGGGGATGCTGGGGTAAGTGTTACACTGCTGTTGGCATTCCTGTGTGTGTCCTTGATATTTTCCTACTTTCCATGGAACAGAAAGCATTACAAAATTTGTAAGCTGAAGGTGCCTTTTTGAAGTTCTATCATCCATGCTGTGACAGACTGCTAAGCATACACAGTTCTTTAGCACAGCATTCCCCAGCACTGTAAGGTATATATCCTTTTTTGGTTTAGTTTAAGGACTTTAAATACAGTCCTTTCAAAACCTCTAATGTCACTGCCATGCTATTGACTTGCTGATCAAAATCTTCCTCTTATTAAATCATGGATGGGCACTTATTGTCAAAAATAGAATTTTAGTTAAATTCCACCTCTTTCATTTCAATTAAGATTAAGACAAAGAAGTAGGAAGTAATTTTGGAAGGTTGTTTTTTTTTGAGTCGGATAATCTCGCCCATGCTGGAGTGCAGTGGCACAATCACAGCTCATGGCAGCCTTGACCTCTTGAGTTTAGGAGATCCTTCCACCTCAGCTGTGACTACCGGTGAGTGCCACCATGCCTGGCTAATTTTTTTTTTTTTAATTTTTTTTGAGTTTGAGTGTCACTCTGTCACCCAGGCTGGAATGCAGTGTCACGCTCATGGCCACCCCAGCATTGACCTGCTGGACTCTGGCTATCCTTCTGCCTCAGCCTTCCAGGTAGCTGGAACTACAATTACATGCTAGCACACCTGCCTAATTTTTTATTTATTGTAGAAACGAGGTCTCGCCAAGTTTCGCAGGCTGATCTCGAACCCATGTGTTCAGACCTTGCCTCAGCCTCCCAAAGTGCTGGGATTACAGGCTGAGCCACCAAGCCCGGCCATTTTTTTTTTTGGAGTTGAAGTCCCACTCTGTCACCCAGACTGGAGTGCAGTGGCACGCTCCTGGCCACCGCGGCCTCAACCTGCTGGGCTCCGGCGATCCTTCCACCTCAGCCTTCCAGGTAGCTGGAACTACAGGCGCACACTACCATGCCTGGCTAACTTTTGACTTATTGTAGAGATGAGGTCTCGGCAAGTTGCCAAGGCGGGTCTCGACCCCGCGGGCTCAGGCATTTTTTTTTTTTCCTTTTTCTTTTAAGATGAGGTTTTGCTGTGTTGCCCAGGCTGGTCTCAAGCTCCTGGGCTCAAGCAATCTGCCTACTTTAGCCTCCCAAAGTCCTGAGATTACCGGCTTGAGCCACTGTGTCCTGTCTGAGAGAATATTTTAACTACAAGATTCTGTAGTAGCAGCATTTTCAGGGATTATTTTTTAACTTTAGATAGGAAATGACAGTGAATTCAAATCTGCTTGTATTTATGTCTAGCTGAGAAAGCTCTCTTATAAAAAAAACTTTTTAGAATCATATAATATTTAACCTGGAAAGAACTTTGTCTTGGAAACTGGGACCCAGAAGATACAAATGCTTAGTAGTAATATTAGTAGGTAAGCTGGGTCTTAGCTTCAGAATGTAAACTTTTGTTAAAATTAATTCCAAGCGTTGTCAACAACCAGACCAGGATGTGACTCAGAGAGTTGTACAAATTAAGCTCTTTGTACTGAATATGGCAGACATAGCTTTGTTTTTTTGTGTTTTTTTTGTGTTTTTTTGTTTTGAGTTGGAGTCTCACTCTGTCGCCCAGACTGGAATGCAGTGGCCGCTCCCAGCCACCGCAGCCTCGACCTGCTGGGCTCCGGTGATCCCTCCGCCTCAACCTTCCAATTAGCTGGAATTACAGGCATGCGCTACCACGCCCGGCTGATTTTTTGATTTATTGTAGAGATGAGGTCTTGCTGCCCAGGTGGGTCTCGCACCCACGGGCTCAGGCAATCCACTCACCTCAGCCTCCCAAAGGCGTGGGATTACAGGCTGAGCCACTGCGAGCCTGGCTCATAGTTTTGTTTTGAAGGAAGCTAACTTTACTATTGGTTGGGGATGATCTCCAGAAAAGAATCTGTGTTAGAGTGTTCTAGTTTGCTATTGCCAAAATTATATTTCTCAAGTTCCACTGATGGTTGTTTGCCTAGTGCATATTGTCCATTCCAACAATGTTTTTTTCTCTTGATTCCTGTGTGACCTCAAGCAAATCCTTAACTACTTCCAATTTTTTCTAACTCGAACATGTGGCATGTGTACTACCATGATTATCTGTAACCTCAAACTACTGTGCAGACTGTGCATGGAATTTATTTTTTTGTGTGGACACACACACACACACACACACACACACACACACACGACCAAGCACAGTGGCTCTTGCCTGTAATCCCAGCACTTTGAGAGGCCAAAGCAGCCAGATTGCTTGAGCCCAGGAGTTCGAGACCAGCTTGGGTAACGTAGTGAAACCTCGTCTCTACAAAAATAAAAATAAAAAATTAGCCAGGCATGGTGGTATGCGCCTGGAGTTCCAGCTGTTTGAGATGCTGAGGTGGAAGGAGCTCCTGAACCCAGGATCAAAGCTGCCATGAACCATGATAATTGTGATCATGCCACTGCACTGCAGGCTGGGCAACAGAGTGAGACCCCGACTCAAAAAACAAAAACAAAAACACACGCACACAAAACCCTTATTTTTGCCAAAATGAAAGATGATGTAGTTATGTAAAGAAAAGAGTTTGAGGCCGGGCTTGGTGGCTCAGCCTGTAATCCTAGCACTTTGGGAGGCCGAGGTGAGTAAATTGCTTGACCCACCGGTTCGAGATCCACTCGGCAAGTTGGCGAGACCACGTATCTGCAATAAATAAAAAAAAATTAGCTGGGTGTGATAGCGTGCGCCTGTAGTTCCAGCTACCAGGAAGGCTGAGGCAGAAGGATTGCCTGAGCCCAGCAGGTCAAGGCTGCAGTAGCTGGGAGCATGCCACTGCACTCCAGTCTGGGTGACAGAGTGAGACTCCAACTCAAAAAAAAAAAAAAAAAAGAGAAGAGTTTGCTAAAATAACAGGAACCTCTTGTCAGATTAATATATGAAGCAATTAGCATAGATATTTGAAGGAATTTAAATGAAAAAAGTATGAATAAATACATGAAAAAGTAGAGAAAAATTATCTACAATTTTCCTTTAGCAAATAAATTATGTCTAAAGTGTGTATATATTCATATCTAATACCTCTGAAAAGAATTTATGCAATTACTTTGTCCTCAAATATATACGTATATAATGTAACATATTTTGTATGTATCTTCCATTTCTTACTGAAGAGCTACTGTTATAACTCTAGATTCCAGTCTAGTCCATTAGCTGTGAAACTTTTGTGTGTCTTTTCACCTTTTACGTCTTTCATTTTCTTCTCTTAAAATAAAAGATGGTGCCGGGCTCGGTGGCTCAGCCTGTAATCCCGCACCTTTGGGAGGCTGAGGTGAGTGGATTGCTTGAGGCCGCGGGTTCGAGACTCGCCTGGGCAGTAAGACCTCATCTCTACAATAAATCAAAAAATCAGCCGGGCGTGGTAGCGCACGCCTGTAATTCCAGCTACTTGGAAGACTGAGGTGGAAGAATCGCCGGAGCCCAGCAGGTCAAGGTTGCGGTGGCCGGGAGCGGCCTCTGCACTCCAGTCTGGGTGACAGAGTGAGACTCCAACTCAAAAAAAAAAATAAAAGATGGTTTAAAGATATCTATCAACGGCCACTGCCAGACCATCACTACCACTGCCGTGCTAAGCGGTGGTGTGGCCATGTGCCCTTTGAGCTATGGCTTGGCCATGTTTTCTTAAGCTTTGGCCCCCTTCCCTACCTTGGGAGATGAATCTCCTCTTTCTTTTTCTCTCTCTAATTTACTTTCTAAATAAACCATATTTTCTATTCTAAAAAAAACTATCAACTGTACAATATTATGTCCAATAGCAGATGTTCATAGTTAAAGATCTTAAAAGATAGTTATTTTAGTCGAATATATATTCACATTGGTTCACATATTTTACTGTGGTTTATAATTTTGTCCTCTTTTCTCCTAAGATCTCAGTGGTTCAATAGCATCCCCAGATGTCAAATTAAACCTCGGTGGAGATTTTATCAAAGAATCTACAGCTACGACATTTCTGAGACAAAGAGGGTATGGCTGGCTTTTGGAAGTTGAAGATGATGATCCCGAAGATAATAAACCACTCTTGTATGTAAAAACACTAACATGTACTTTTTTGCTTTTTAGAGCTAGTCTGTGGGATGATTATATTCTTTCTTGTTATTTAAAGACAGATGTGGAAAAAACCTTTTAATAAAAGGTTATAGCAATTTTCAGTTTTATTGGTGATTTTAAAAACTGACATGAGAGAAAACTTTTTAACCTATTAAACTGCAAAAATTAAAAGAATGATAATCCTGTATCTCTCTGTGTGTGTGTCTCTTTCTCTCACTCACACATGTAGAAATACAGCATACTCCAAACTGTTAGAGCTCACCTGGGTGTGTCGGCTGTCTTGTGTAATCGTGCAGTCCCAAAAAGTGGGACTCTTGGGTACTTGCTGTTGAAATTCAGGCTTAAGATCAATTAAGATTTCCAAAAAGATGATCACTCCCAAATCTCTTCTACATAGAAATTCTAGAACTGCCACTGGGATTAGGACTAGAAAGAGCCTTTCACTTTCTTCATAGTACTTGAAATTTTGTGATTTTCTGTCACCTGGGGAATAAAAGTAAAGAAATGAACAATTTTGGAGAGAAGGACCTATAGCTTTGTAAAATTGAAGCATATCCGGGCTCGGTGGCTCAGCCTTTGGGAGGCTTTGGGAGGCTGAGGTGAGTGGATTGCCTGAGCCCGTCGGTTTGAGACCCGCCTGGGCAGGCGAGACCTCATCTCTACAATAAATCAAAAAAAATTAGCCAGGTGTGGTAGCGCGCGCCTGTAGTTCCAGCTACGTGGAAGGCTGAGGCGGAAGGATCGCCGGAGCCCAGCAGGTTGAGGTTGCGGTGGCTGAGAGTAGCCACTGCTCTCCAGTCTGGGTGACTCAAAAAAAAAAAAAAAAAAAAAAATTGAAGCATTTCCAGGTTGGTCTTTATTGTTATATAAAGTGCTAAATCATCCTGTTTCTTTCTTTTTTTTTTTTTTTATGAGTTGGAGTCTCACTTGGTCGCCCAGACTAGAGTGCAGTGGCCACTCCCGGCCACCGCAGCCTCGACCTGCTGGGCTCCGGCGATCCTTCCGCCTCAGCCTTACGAATAGCCGGATTACAGGCATGCGCTACCATGCCCGGCTGATTTTTTGATTTATTGTAGAGATGAGGTCTCGCTGCCCAAGCGGGTCTCGAACCCACGGGCTCAGGCAATCCACTCACCTCAGCCTCCCAAAGGCGTGGGATTACAGACTGAGCCACCGAGCCGGCTCATCCTGTTTCTTAATGTTAGCATACCATATTTTATTAACTGTAAGACACTATGAATTATAAGATGAAGTTATTTTCCATTTTTTTTTCTTTTGTAGAAATAAGGCTTCCGGGCTGGTCTCAAATTCCTGGCCTCAAGTGATCCTCCCACCTCAGCCTCCCAAAGTACTGGGATTACAGGCATGAGCCATCACATCTGGCTTATTTTACATATTAATTAAAAAGAGAAGTAGCTGGGCGTGGTGGTTTACATCTTTAATCAATCCCAGCTAAGGTAAAAAGATTGAGCGCAAGAGTTCAAGGCTTCAGTGAGTTATGATCATGCCTCTCTACACTCCAGCCTGGGTGGCAGAGTGAGACCCTGAATATTAAAACTAAGTGAAAAGAAAAGGAAAGCACATAAGACAGCATGAAGACGGGACATCAAAGGGCCGTCTTCTTAGTGTAAGGATGATGAGAATTAACCCTCCACAAAGACAGCAAGGAAGTTTGCTTCAGTTTGGCAGTGGGTAGGATGTTGGAAGAAGGAATTCTTCCGAGAGTAAACCCCACACTGGTTCTCATAGAGGCTTGCAGTCTGAATTAGTATAGTCCCCAAAATTTTCAAGCAGAAAATTGTTTTTAAAAATTGTGTTGGCCAGGCTTGGTGGCTTCGCCTGTAATTCTAGCACTTTGGGAGGCTGAGGTAAGTGGATTGCCTGAGCCCGCGGGTTCAAGACCAGCCCAGACAACTTGGCAAGACCTCATCTCTACAATGAATTAAAAAATAGCCAGTCATGGTTGTGTGTGCCTGTAGTTCTGGCTAATTGGAAAGCTGAGGCAGAAGGATCGCTGGAGCCCAGCAGGTTGACACTAAGGTGGCCGTGAGCATGCCACTGCTCTCCAGCCTGGGCAACGGAGGGAGACTTCAACTCAGAAAAAAAAAATGTCTTAAATTGATAATGCCAGCTGGGTGCAGTGGCTCATGCCCAGCACTTTATGAGGTGGAAGTGAGAGGACTGCCTGAGCTCAGGGATTCAAGACCAGCCTGGGCAATATGATGAAACCTTGTCTCTACAATAATTCAAAAAATTAGCTGGGCAGGGTGGCATACACCTGTAGTTCCAGCTACTTGGAAAGCTGAGGTGAAGTATTGCCTGAGACCAGCAGGCCAAGGCTGTGGTGGCCGTGGGTGTGCCACTGCATTCCAACCTGGGCAACAGAATGACACTCCGGCTCAAAAAAAAAAAATTGCTGGTGCCTCCAGGAGACTGGCAAAAGGAAAGGCAGATATCAGAAGCACTTGGCTTCACACCAGGATAACAGCAATTATAAGATGCCAGCGATTGTGAGACATAGATATGGAGATATTCTGATGTTTAAAATGTACACTTTGGAGACAGTGAAATAGGATGCTTCAAATGTAGTTGTTTTGTTGACTATAGAGACTGTATTTAAGCTTTTCTTAAATTCTTTTGCACTTGTCTTAGTATTCAGAAGTGAATGCTTTTTGAGAATTTTTATTTTAAAATTATAGGGAAGAATTGGATATTGATCTAAAGGATATTTACTACAAAATCCGGTGTGTTTTGATGCCAATGCCCTCGCTTGGTTTTAATAGACAAGTGGTGAGAGACAATCCTGACTTTTGGGGTCCTCTGGCTGTTGTTCTTTTCTTTTCCATGATATCATTATATGGTCAGTTTAGGGTAAGTATGTCTTATTTTCTACAAATTCTGAATATTTTGAGAAATATTAAAATTAAATATTAACTGTAGTTAGATATTAAATATAGTCAAGTATAAGCTGTAGTACTACATTATGGTTGGGAAATGCGTTACTTTTACCCATTATTTCTCACTAGTTCATCCCTAAAATTGTTCAATAATTAAGTGGGGAGCACCATAGATTCATGCTTTCAAGTTGTCCCACATCATCCTTCACACAGAAAGTACTAATACTGCACGGTTCATGGGAGTAAATGGGTAGAGCCATTCCCAGCTGACCAGAAGTGGCCAGAAGGGCTTCTCAGGCCCTTTCTTACTTTCCTAAGAAGTGAAGAGTTTGGAATGTATTACTCATAATCATGTTTCTGCCTTTTATAAAAATTATTTTTTTAAATGAACATTATTTTAAATAGTAGATGATGACAAGAATTCCATCAATATTTGCTTTATACTACTTCTATCCCCAGCTTAAGACTTTAAGGAGTAAAAATAACTTTTACCACAGACATTTTGAAATGAATGAGTTTCCTGTTGCTGGTGTAAAAATGCCACAAACTTAGTGGCATAAATTTATTCTTTTCTGGTTCTGGAGGTCAGAAGTCCAAAATGAGCCTTAAAGGACTAAGACTGGAATGTTGATAGGGCTGTTTCCTGTGGCGGCTCAGGGGCAGAATCTGTTGCTTGTTTATTTTGCTTCTGGAGACCGCCAGCATTCCTTGGCTTGGAGCCATGACACTGAGCTTCTGTTTCCATGCTCATGTTGCCTTCTCCTCTACTGTACTCAGGTCTCCCTCAGTCTCCCTCTTTTAAGGACAATTGGCATTACATTTAGGGGCCACCAAGATATTCCAGAATAATCTCCCCACCACAAGGTCCTTGACACCTTATTGTACTAATCCTATTAAGATTTATTCTAGATTAGTAGTTTATACCAAATATTCTGTTGAAGTATTGTAAAAACTATTGAAGGAATTTAATGGGGGCTCTGGTCTCCTACCTCCCACCCATCGTTCATCCAGAAGATCTCTAGTTTAAGGCTAAAAACAGAAGGTGACTGTACCCTCATAGAATGTCTCATGATTGGATTGAGGTAATGCATTTTTGCCAAGAACATCATAGAGGTGACATTGTGCCCGTCTAACAGGGAGTGCATCATACTGATTTGTCTTAGTACTAGTGATATTAACATTAATCACTTGTTTAGATGATGCGATGGTATTCTTCTAGTTCCTTCACTGTAAAGTTGCTATTTTTCCCTTTGTAATACTTTGCAGCTTTGCAAATATCCTGTTTCTCATCTAACTTGAACCTGCTAATTTTAGCATCCATTTATGGATCTTACATGCAATAATTATTCCTAGTAGTGTTTACTGAACAGTGATTTTTCTATTTTCCTCACACATATTACTTTCTGGGTTATAACACAATAATGTCATCACTGATTTTACTACTTAGCTTTTTTCCAACTTTAGCCATCCGAGCTCCTTCAAGCTGCCTTCAGTGTATCCTATCCTTTTTTTGAACACTTCCTCTCCTTCTGACCCCACAGAGTGTTCGGGCTAATCTTGTATTTTGTCTGCCCCAGCCTTGGAATCAATCATTTCTCTAAGGAGTCCTGCTTCCTTTAATTAGGGAATGATATTTAGAAACCAGCATCTGAGCCGGGCTCAGTGGCTCAGCCTGTAATCCCGCGCCTTTGGGAGACTAAGGTGAGTGGATTGCCTGAGCCCGCGGGTTTGAGACCCGCCTGGGCAGGTGAGACCTCATCTCTATAATAAATCAAAAAATCAGCCGAGCGTGGTAGCGCATGCCTGTAATTCCGGCTACTCGGAAGGCTGAGGCGGAAGGATCGCGGAGTCCAGCACGCGAGGCTGCAGTGGCCATTGCACTCCAGTCTGGGCGACCGAATGAGACTCCAACTCAAAAAAAAAAAAAAAGAAAGAAACCAGCATCTGGGACTGAGTATGGCAGCTTATGCCTGTAATTCCTACACTTTTGGAGGCAAAGGCAGGAGGATCGCTTGAAGCCAAGAGTTCAAGACCAGCCTGGGCAACATAGAAAATAAAAATAAAACATTATCTGGGTGTGATGGGGCCTGCCTGTAGTCCTAGCTACTCAGGAGGCTGAGGCAAGAGGAGCCCAGGAATTCTAGGTTACAATGAGCTATAGTCCTGCCACTGTACTCAAGCCTGGGTGGGAGAGCGAGACCCTATCTCTAAACAAGAAAAAAACAAACCAATATTTGAGCAACAAATGTGCTTATGTTGCTACTGGGATGTTATTTTTAGACCCTCCCAGCAGATATATATCATTAAATATATATATTATTACACTAAATTTGAGGAAATTAAAATTATCTGTAAAGTCTCCTATGTCCTATTACTTGGATACATGTATAGTTAACATAAATTTTAAAGACTTCCAGAGAATACTGGTAATTTGTTTCAGGAATAAATTTTCCTTGCGGGATAATTTAAACCAGGTGGTGTGTAATACATACTTTATTATTTTTTTCCTTCTATAATTTATTACCTTATTTTGAAGTTTCTTTTTTTTTTTTTTTTTTGAGTTGGAATCCCACTCTGTCGCCCAAACTGGAGTGCAGTGGCTACTCCTGGCCACCGCAGCCTTGACCTGCTGGGCTCCGGCGATCCTTATGCTTCAGCCTTCCAAGTAGCTGGAACTACAGGCGTGCACTACCACACCCAGCTAATTTTTTGATTTGTTGTAGAGATGAGGTTTCACCAAGTTGCCCAGGCGAGTCTCAAACCCGCGGGCTCAGGCTGAAGTTTCTTTATGTAACTGATAATTGCTAAATTTTTAGTTTGGATGTAAAGTTGTATTACACATCATATTATTGTTAGTAAGCTTTGAAACGATGTCTGAGAAGCCATACAACCTCTTTGTGACCTGAAATTGGGCATGCCAAACTGTCTTTTATGCCAGAGAATTGAGTTGCTGGAAAATAGCTTATTTGGTACACTAATATTAATTGCATTTTTTTTCCTCTAAGGTGGTCTCATGGATTATAACCATTTGGATATTTGGTTCACTAACAATTTTCTTACTGGCCAGAGTTCTTGGTGGAGAAGTAAGTAGTTAATTTTGAAAATACTGGGGGTTTTTTTGTGTTTTTTTTTTTGTGGTGAGCTTAATTTTTGATACTGTGGATACTATCATTAACTAGACTCAATACAATTGTTTCTTGTCCCAGAATTGCTTTTAAGTTATGCTAGTTCCTTTAAGATGATCAACATAATAGTATTATGCTTACTCAATAAATGTTGCAAGGAATGAAGAGGAAAGAAAAAAATTCCATCCCACCAAGTAATTTACACTTTTTCAGGAAGGCATAGACTTTAGTCTCTGTTACAGCTATTTTCAAACTTTTTCATCTTAGGTTGCCAAGAGATTTCTTTATATAAGCTATATTTATCAATATTTACCAGTAAATTTAAGTGTTTATTCATTTAAAACTAAAAATAAACCTACTACATTTTAACATAAACAACACATTTGGACAGAGGTCGGGTGCAGTGGCTCAGACCTGTAATCCTAGCACTTTGGGAGGCCAAGGCAAGAGGACTGCTTGAGCCCAGGAGTTCAAGACCAACTTGGGTACCATAGCGAGACCCCATTTCTAAAAAAAAAAAAAAAGAATTAAAAAGAAATGGAAAATGACTATATTTTTCACAACAAAAAAGTTAGTGAGAAGCAGAGCATTGTTTTACATTTTTGCAGGTACCTTTAATGTCTGGCTTAATGGAAGTTGGGTTCTAATATCTGCTCTCTCCATTCAGTCGTTCAGTCTGTTACGATATGGTGTTTTGGCTAAAGTAATGAAGAAAATAAGACCTCACACAGATACGTAATTGAAAAGGAAGAGTACTTTTTGTTTTGTTTTGTTTTTTTGAGTTGAAGTCTCACTCTGTCACCTAGACTGGAGTGCAGTGGCCGTTCCCGGCCACCGCAGCCTCGACCTGCTGGGCTCCGGCGATCCTTCCGCCTCAGCCTTCCAAGTAGCTGGAACTACAGGCGCGAA